AAAGTTGATTTCCATGGCAATTCACGCAAGTCACTTGAGGGCCCACGCCCGCGTCGAGACCGTTCGCAACGGGCGCGCCCTCCACGGCGCTGCCCGGGCCAGCCCGGTGGCCATCGACGCGACGTGGATCGCGGGCCGTCGGCCAGGCAGAGCTCGCGATGGGGGAGGACCGCCTCGGAGCCGCGGTGAGTCGCAGCCCCGGTTGCGATGTGCGAGGAACGACCACCTGCCCAAGGCTACCTGGTGGTCGTGATCCACCTTGTCGGCGGGCCCTTCTTGTTGAGCACGGCGCCAACTGATGCCGGCGCCTGCGTTCGTGGACTTGTTCATGGACCTGCGTTTCGCGTGCCTACTGCTGGCCGCTCGCGCTTACTCTCCGATGTCCGGCTGCTCGTTTGCTACCCGGCCTGGTCCCTCTTCACAGGCTGTCGCGTCGCCGCAGCGATCCAGCGATCGTTTGCGTCCACATGCGTTGCCACGCGAGTGCTTTCCCTGCTCCAAACGGCGATTTCGCATTTTTCTGTCCCTCGGTCACCCAGAGGGGTGGGGGGTGGGGGTCTCTGGCCTGGCGTCCGTGGGGACTGCTGCTGGTACCCACACGCCTGGGCAGCGCGAGCCCCTGGAACCTGTTGTTCGCCTCAGCGTGCCCTCCTGACGATCGTGTCGGTGTTCGGAGCTGCCAAATTCGCGTTCTTTGCCTGTCCATGGGCACTTCCGGAGATACCCTGTTGGGCCAAGTGTCCCTTTTCGCCCCTATCTGATCGCACCTGATCGTCCAACCCTGCCCCCGCGTTCTCCCTGGTAGAAAACAGCCTGTTTGCGATGCCAGCTGCGATGCCAATTTGACACAAATTGATGCCATCACAGTGAGTGCGACGGCATAAAAGGGGCTGTGATGGCATCACTTTGTGTCAAAATGGCATCGCAGTTGGCATCGCAAACAGGCTGTTTTCTACTGGTGTCTGCTACCCGGTTCTATGCAGATGGATAGCGCGTTGACCCGATGCAGGACTTTTCGCGGGCAGGTTCCCCAATGTGGGCCCGCACTGGCAATTTGCTATGTCACTGGGCATTGTCAGAGCAAGCAAATGACCTGAAACTTGTGCTTTTGCTCCAGGTTGATGGCATCCAGTGCAAGCTGAAATGCGGGGGGCCCCTGTACAACTGCCGCATCATGGCCTTTCTGCAGGCGCAGCTTGAGAAATTGCGAGGTCTGGAGACACCAGCCACTGCCCCAACACATGAGCTGGCCATCTATAACCGCCAACTTGAAAGGGCGGAGAGGTGCCTGGCCAAGCATGCCGACCACTTCGATGTCAGAGATTTTTACAGGACACAGGATGCATGCCTGGCAGTGGAGGAGATTTGTGAAAGCCTGAGAGAGAGGATGGAGAAATGGGGAATGGCAGGTGCAGCATGCTTTGAAGACCGTGTGCCCAGAGCCGATGTGCAGGAGGACAAGAAGCTTTTGGCTGAGCTTCTTAACTACATTCTGAAAGGAGCTGAGTGCAACGTGGACAGAGAGCTACTGCAGCGCTGGGCACCCTTCAAACAACGCCATGAAGAAAACATGAAAGTATTGCAGATCATCGATGAAACTGCCCTTCATCTTGGGCAAGTTCTGGGCGCTGGCAGCCAGGGCGCTGTTTTTAAAGCTGTGTGGCTGTCTTCTGAAGTGGCGGTGAAGAAGCCATTCAAGCCCAGGGAGGGTGACCTGCCCATCGAGGCATTTGCAGAATTCCTCAGAGAGGTATTTCAACATGCTGCCCTCAACAGCCATCCCAACATCATCCGGCTACTTGCAACCACTGTTTCTGGCTGGATAGTGTTGGAACTGGCGGACGGTGACCTGCACAAGCTGTGCCATGATGAGGGAGGCTTGGACTGGAGATCGAAGGCTAGGCTGCTCCGGCAGGGTGCTGCAGGCTTGGAGTACATCCACTACCAGAAAAGGGTGCACGGCGACATCAAGCCTTGCAATTTCCTGTTGATTGGCACACACCCAGAATCCCTTCAGTTGAAAATCAGTGATTTTGGGCTTTCTTTTGAAGCAACACTATCAAAGAGCAAGACAGTCAGGGGTCGTGGAGGGACAGAACAGTACATCGCCCCTGAGGCATATGAAGGCAAACCCATCAGCCAGGCATCGGATGTCTACAGCTTTGGGGTGATTTGTTATGAAGTTATAAGCCAGAAGCACCCCTTTGGAGGAGAGGCTGTCCACCAATGTGCCATCATGAGGAAGAAGTTCAACAGCGAAGAACCATGTCAAGTTCAACCACAGGACTGTCCTCCACAAGCGCTGAAGCTCATCAGGCAGTGTTGTGCACTTGACCCAGCTGAAAGGCCAACCATGGCGGAGGTCAGCAAATGTCTATCACTGCTTCCTGAGGACTGGAAAGTGGGGGTCTCCAAAGTGAGTGATGCACCTGTTCTCTTGTTGCAATGTTGGGGCATGCGCAACCATTGTGATTGTGTTTTTCACAGTTGACTGGCTGCTGCTATCAAGTGCTTCATAACATTTACCCTTTTGCATCATTCTGCAATCCTGGGCCTTTCAATATGGAGCCATGTCAAAATGTAAAGGAGTCAAAATGTGTGAAGCTAGGGTTCACTTGTTTTTTTGTTGAAACTGGAACTCAAGATTTTAAGGACCTAATCTTCCAATTCTGGTTACCCTTTTCTTTGGATGCTAATTTCAAGCCAAATTTCTCTCTCAGATAAGCAAAAATTAATATGTGACAGGGGAAGTACAATGCAATCTGTTAAATGAATGCTGAACAAAATCGTGCCATCAAAATTCCAAAATGCAAAAGGATTCAGTACACTGCAGTATTGGTGATGGTTTGCTTAGTAACACAGCAATGTACCATCAAGATGGAGCACAACAACCTTCAAGGGGTCCACTAAGTGGATGGGAGCAGATGGTTGGGTTGCAGCTCAGGGTGGAAAAATTAGCCAAGTAGACACTTGAATCAAAACCTGAGTAAGCCAGCCCTCCCCACAGCCAACATAGCTCCATGCTCAGATGTACCCAAGTGGGGTATCCATATGAAGATTACTGTAGTTGCTCGGGATGTTCAGGCAAAAGAAGGTACAGTCAAAGCAACCCTACTTGCACAAAATGGCAATGTTCAGTGCAGTATTGGTATGTCCTTGTAAGATGGCAGTAGCTTGTTCATACAGCAGCTCACCATTTCTGCAAACTTGGCATATCGCAGATGGGCGGAAAGTACATCTAGTGCATGCGCCATGGGGCCCAGGATGGGGCCTCCCTGGGAGGCCAGGGGAGGTGTGTGTTCTGTGGCAGATCTTTGCCTATGCACAACAAAGTGGGCGCTGCCCTGCTTGGCTCCTTGCGGCCTGTGGAATGGAGGGATAGAGGGGGGTGCCCAATGCCGCAACATCCATTTGTTCAATGCGCAGACTGCACAGAGTAGAGGTCAGCCCAGCCATCCACTATTTAGTGGTCCATGTTGCCATCCATAAGATAACCATTAACAGCGCAGATGATGGTAGGGAGCAGCTTGAGTGGCAATTGGGTTCCAGTGAGCGGCAGGAAGCGAAAGGAGCGGTGTTCGCGGCTGGGGGGGGGGGGTTATGGGAGTGGTATGGAAGCATCACTGACTAGTAAAGCAGCTTCTCTTTGGGCCCATCCCGTCATCGACTGTGGCGCTCCCTCTCTCGCCACTTGGCGACCAGGGTAGGCACAGATACCAAACGAAGGGCGCCCTTTTGGGTGCCTGCTCTGCCACCCGCATGGGCTTCGACTGGCTCCCACGGGTGGCGGGAATGGGTGCCCACAAGGCGCCGTTTTCTTGACAAAATACTGCACCTCATGGACGCCCACTCCCGCCACCCATGGGGGCCAATCGAGGCTCACGTGAGTGGCATGAATGAGTGCCTGCAACGCGCCATGTTCCTGGCAAAAAGGTGCCTCACAAGCACCCACTCCTGCCATGCACGGGGCCCAATCGAGGCCTGTTTGGGTGGCGGGAATGGGCTCCTGCAACGCACCATGTTCCGAGCAAAATGGCGCCTCACAAGCGCCCACTCCCGCCACTCGCACGGCCCTCGATTCGTTGCCGTGGGTGGCGGGAGTGGGCGCCCACAAGGCGTCACTTTGTTGGCCAAAACAGCACCTCGCAGGCGCCCACTCCCGCCACCTGTGCGGCCCTCGATTGGTCGCTGTGGGTGGCGGGGATGGGGTCCCATGAAGTGCCATTTTTCGGGCAAGTTTACCACCCTATGGGCGCCCACTCTTGCCACCTGCGGGAGCCAATCAACCCAACTTTTGTGGCTCTCCACCACCGCTGCACTGATTGCTGTGCTGCTGGTGCCATTCCTCTCATGCGGCTGCAATGATACTCTGTGGGGCAGCAACGGTATGCATGGTACGCTGTGCCCTCCCCCCCCCCTCCACACCCGCTCCCTAGCACAGAGTCGAGGGAGGGTCGATGGAGACCAATGTCAAGAACAAGTATCCTGTTTGAGCCTTGCCTTTGCCCTTCAGGATTGGTAGCTGGCAGTGCCTAGCTTCCAAGTCAAGGCCGATTGATTGCAGTCATGGGTGCCAATCAGGGCACCAACATGTGGCACCATTCGGCACCAATGGGGGGCAGAAATGGTGGTAGTGGGAGGCAGCGTTTGGCCTCCAACTCCCATTTTTTTGTTGCGGCTTCTGTGCCCGGTCATTAATGCCACATAGCCATTGTTGACTGTCGACATTCGCCCATCGTAGGCGCCAATTGATGGCACTCGCGTCTGGCAAACAGGACACCCTCGAGTGGCACCATTCGGGACGAGCAGGAGCCAGCAATGGCAAGAAAAGGCAAAAGGGCATCACCTAGTCTTTATCTGAAGTCAATCATGGCAAGGACATCTGTGCTGCTGCTGTCCTAGTAATCCGAACCAGAGACCGGCAGCTGCAACAGAGTCTTTTATTTTTGTTTTAGTTTCTTTGCTCTTATCCATTGACAGCTTCTGTGCATGCAACACAGCCACCACGCTACCCAACAGACATAGCAGTCAAGGAGGCATCACCAACAACAGATGTGTCCAACAAAAGGCAAGTTGGAATCTGACCTCATCTCTTGAATGCATCTCCCAGATGAGCAGTACCAGGTGTTTTCTTTAGAGCCTTGCAAAATGGCTATTCCTACTGCTTACGTTGGGATTGGCATTTCCAGGTTGGACAGAGGCTCTAATTCTACAATTGTGGACTCTCCCACTGCAACCCCAGTGGGTTGGAATGCAGGAAAGGATCTGGCTATCGAAGGATTGTCTGCACCAAGCTCAGTACCTGTGAGTGTGGGGTGACAGTTTGAGATGATGGGCTATGAGTGGCAATGGAAGACAGTGCTGCAGCTAAGACGTGACTTTGCAGCAGTGATAATGGTTGTCAGTTGCAAGAATGTGTTCAATCTGCGTTAGTCTTTTAGTGCATTCCTTTTTGTGACCTTTCTTTTGCAATTTGAGATATGGTGCTCATTGCTTTATTTGCAGTTTTGGGGTGATTTGCCTGCCAAGCAATTGCTGCAGGCAGCTGTATATATATTATATATAAAAAATGATAACATTACAAATATGGATATTACCATAGTACTACTGGTAGTATGTTAAACTTTTCCACATTTGAAATCTTAGCCCTACAATTGTTGCTCCACATTTTCTCAGCACCTTGTTGTTTGGCTTTGTTTGCTTTACATTGGATCCTATGGGCTTGGGGTGAGCTATAGAACCTCCATGCCAGGTTTCAGCTGCAACTGATTGGTCACCAGCATCCAATGTGTGTGAGCTGGGCAGCCAAGCAGAGTTACACAAAATTTTCACAAATTTATTCAGCCATAGAATGTTGTGCATGTCTTGGGTGCTACGTATGGCTCCCAAGAATCACAGAAATGCACCAATGCAAACAGAGGCACAGATTGGCAGTGCTTCTGCTGCAGATTCGAATGAGGTGGGATTCAGCTGTTGGTGCACGCCCCAGATTGGGGCATGGCTGTACAGCTGGTGCTACTCAGGACAGAACCGGCAAGCAGCCATGGATGAGGAGCCCCCCCGCCCCCACTGCATTCCTCCCATTCCTCCCACCCCACCCTGCCAATCCACGTCTTTCACCTGCATAGTGCCATGCTCTTGCCCTTGCTTATGCAGCAATGCCTTGGGACCTTCCAAGCCGTTGGGAAGTTGTGGACGGCCAATTAGACAATGGGAAGTGTAACTTGGGTCATCCTATGCATTCCTCCCATTATTACCATATGTGTGCTGGCGCCTTTGGTGTCAGCATGCTGTTGGACAGCAGGGCCGCTACAGATTGCCACCTGATAGGGGCACAGCAGGCAAGGGGTACAATGCCTCTGGGACTGGTCTCTGGTAGCAAGTGCACAATTGATTGAGACATTGGCAAGAGCAATGTGGCGGAGCAATGCCAGGGCATTCGAATGACTGCAAATCTGGGCTGTGATGGTGCTAGCCTATGCTTACAATTGCTTCCCATGCCACACAATGTCATTCCTCATTTTTCTCATCTTTACATCACCAGAATCGCAATTCTGCCCAGTTTGACTGGCCTTAATTGCTAGTTTTCTCACACAGCAGATTGCACAACTAGCACCACAAGATGCTACAAGCAGTGCAGGGCCCCTCATGTTGCAGTTGGGGCCTGTTTAGGTGTTCAAATTCCACATTGGAATATTGAAGCTGTCAATGAGCAAGAGCAAAAAAAGAAATTAAAACTGGATTGTGTTAATGAACAAAAACTACAAGATTCTGTTGCAGCTGCCGGCTCTTGCTTTGGATTACCAGGCACCCAATGGGGCTGCAGGTTGCAGCGAACCCAGCTTCTATTGGAGCAGAGTTGGGCATTGTTTTATGAGCTGCTCCTCACTTTTTTGCATTATTGCTCTATTTATTATTGCTCCACATGAAAAGGCCAAACGTTATGTTGCTTTAACATGCTTCCTCCATCTGGAAATGAATGTCTGGATTTGTTAGGGAGGCCACATTTACCTCATGCACATGTTATTTTTTGGTGGTGCCCTTTTGTGATGCCTTGCAGGATCCTAGGTGCCACTTTTTGACACAGCTAGTGGAGGTTGATGAGGTCCATATTCGCCTCCAGAGTAGTGAGATCAAATGTTCGGCCCAAATTTTGTACTTGACTGTTTGCTGCAAAAATTTGAAAGCATTCAGTACCCTCTAGAGGATGCTTTGGTCGATTTTTCAAGGAAAATAGCAAGTGCTTGATATGATTTGACTCCCTAACAAATCCAGACATTTAGTTCTAGATGAAGAATTACTACAGTATACTAGACAAGGTGTTGATTGCTGAGACCAATAATATTGTGAGTTGAAGTGCTGACAAGCATGATATTCTTGTTCTGTCAGACTGCATTTTTATTTTGGGTGGAAAAGAATTAATATAGTGGTGGGATATGACTTTAGTCACCCAATTTCCACCCATATGCGAGCAAGCAATTCAGTCACACATGCAACCTGTCACCATAAATCACTTGCCTCTGGCCACCATTGAGCATCATTTCCCCAAGCAGCTGAAGTAACAGAATTAGTTTTTCAAAATTTGATAGTATATGAGATCCACAAGGCTATGCTTGTGCAAGTCAGCAAATTCAGCCAAATTGTCAGTAATTATGCAATTCTGCTTGCAAATTGTAGAAAATAAGTGCACTGTGCTTGTGGTACTGCAAAAAGCTGTGCTTGCTGCCTCACAAAAGTGTCTCTTGTGACATTTAACAATAGCAATTTGCCAGCATTAGCTGTTAACGTAAAATGTGGTAACCCTTCTCATTTTGATTCTGCCTTCTTTGATTTTTTAAAGGCAATTTAACAAGTAAATCATTGTGGTATTGCATTGAAATTGGACGACTTGATCAGAGAATTTGGCATCTGGGAGAGGGCTGCTGGCACAATCAGGTTGCCATATGTACACGTCTGCTCATCCTCTCCACTGCCCCTTCACATATGTCAAACTCCACTCATGCCAATGCAGCATTGTGCATAGTGTACAGGACATCTTTGTGGCATTGCAATCTGTGGTGCTGTGATGGCCAGGTACTGCATTATGGATGCCATCAACAATGCTCCATAATGGTTTCACACAAGAAATTGTCACCTGCACTGTTTAAGAGTTGATGCTGGTGTCCCAGGATATCGTTTTCAGTGCTGCATTTCTTACCAGCAAGCATTAGTGGCACCATGCCTGTATGGTGTGGATTTCAAATGTAATCGCTGAAGTCATTTGCAGTTGCAACTTGAAATTGGTGCTTAAAACAAGAGTTGGAAATAGCTGCACCCATTTGAAGTAAACTTGCAGGATGACAGTTGGCTTTGCAAAGCACAGCAAGAAGGCAAAAGGTCATCATATTGTCATTTTCTAAATCAATCATGCACAATGCATCTGCATCACTGCTTGCCTACTGATCCAAGGCAAAGGACTGTGTCAGCAACCGAGCCTCATAGATTATGAAGATTGATGCAGTCTGAATTCACATTCTAGTATAACTTCTTTCCACATATCCAGTTACAGCCTATGTGGATGCAATACAGACACCAGATCTTCCCACAAGTGCAATGGCTGAAGAGAGCTCATCATGGGCAAGCACATCCAGCAGAAGGCAAGTTGGATGTTTTCTTCATATTCTTAATGCATGTCCTACATGTGCATTTGCATGTGTTTCTTTCTGTCTTGTAGAACAGCATTTACATTGGGGTTGGTATTGTTAGGTTGGAAGAGGGCATAAGTTCACCAGCTGGAGAGAGTGATGTTGCACATTTACTGTGCTGGAATGCATTGGTGGGTCCGCCCATGCACAGACCATCTGCTCCAATCTCTATGCTTTGGTAGAGAAAGAATGGTGATAGCAAATATTGCTGCAACTGAGAATGACTTTGCAGAAGGGCTAACAGATGTCGGTTGCAAGAATATGATTCATTTTGGACTAGTCGTACAATTCATTCCTTTCCTGTATCCTGCTATTTGCAACCTCAGGCTTGCTGTCCAGTGTTCTTGGCCGGTGGCTTCTGTTCCCTGCTTGGAGCTGGCTTAGCCTAGAAAGCAATTGCTGCAAGCAGCAGAACAAGATGGCTTTGCAAGTTTAGACATTGTACTGAGCAAGTGGGCGTTGAGATCAATAACATTGTCACAGTTGTATTGGCAAACACTTTCCGTCCTGATGGAACTGATGGAACTAGCTGAAATAATGGAATTCTTATTCCGGCAAAAAGAAGTTCCTTCCACAGATGGAAACTAGTTAGCATAGCATTAGCAAATGTTCCTATTGGTTCAGGTTTCACCCAATAAATTCTTCACTTAAGCAGTCATTCCGACATCAGAATTTGCTCATTCCTGGCAGCACATTAAATCACCTTTTTTCCAAAAGTGCCTGGAATAATGACATTTACTTCACAGAATGCGGAAATTGCCCAATTTTGGAATTTACAAGTTCTTGACACATGGAGAAAGCAAGCTCACAGTAGTTGCCAGATGCTGTGGCATGACGTTTGCAAAATTGTGGATATTCAACGTGCCGTGGGTATGGCTTAAAATATCATGTTTCTAGCTAAAAGCATTGTCTATCCTGATTTCAATGCTGGCATTTATTTCAGCACTGTCTCGTTTCCTATTATACAAGCCAGTAAATATTTCGTTTGTAATTTCAGTTCTCAGAATCTAAAGAGATTGAACACATGAATTCAGTAAGGCGTTGAAAGTGGTGACTTGCCAGAGTTTACGATACTTGGCAAACAATTACTGGCGCGGCCAGGCCACTTTATTTGCATGTTACCCCATTCTCTTGGCCCACTTTTCCTGAGGACATCACACGCTTGAATTATCCCATGTGCAGCAATGTGCATAATAACGTTATTGGTGGGTATGGCTGGTGGACATGTACTGCCAAACGGATACTGAATACCTGCAGTCTATATTGCTGGCAGCACAGCATTGAAATATCTGCATGATCTTTCCTGTACAGGAAGGCAAAAGGCTTTTGTGCAATAAAATGTATGAGTATGGTTTGAGAATGGCAATGGGGCTCATAAGGCAGCTGTAACTTGAACTTTGTCATGTGCAAGACGATGACTCAATTCATGTGGTTTGTTTATTTTGTTGTATGTTGTGGTGTTGTTGTACGAGTTGTGTTGCTGTACGAAATGTGGTGCTTGTTGCCCAATATTTTTGGGTGTTGCTTTGTTTTGAATCGATTTAGAGTGGAGAGCAGCTGGTGGAAGCAGCCAAGAAGGGTGACCTTGCAGCAGTCGAGATGATGCTAGACAAGGGAGTGGGTGTTGATACCAAGAACAATGTGAGTTGTCTGTATTGGCACATATGCTTTTGATGTTCTCATGTTGATACATTGACAAAAAGGATAAATTTATGCAGTGTTTGTTTCTGCAAAAATAAACTGTTCTATTTGCTGATGTAGTTAGGACTGTAGTGGAACATGTTCCGAACCATTCTCATTCCCATACTATTATGTATGTAAGCCATTATCAGAGGTGATATTCAGTAGCTCAAAGGCCACTATTTTGTGGTTATCTTTCCTCACATATAGTAATTGGTGTGGATTGTATTGGGCAAATCCGCAAATTGCTACTTGCGCTCATAACTTTTGAGTGTGCACAAGAATCTACTGTAACACTTCTATTCTCTGCTCCTAAGAATAGACTTCATCCATTGAGCAGTCCTCATTGTAAATAAATTGCATATCCTAGAATATTGAAAAGCTCACATGCCCGTACATATCCAAGGTATCGAATACTTCGAAGAATAATATGGGAGCCCCATATCCTAGGATATGGTGAGGATATGGGTGTGATATGGCAGACAGTATGGCCATATTGGATATTCTAGACTCATATCCTGGGATACGCCAGGGATATGACAGGATATGGCATGGATATGCTGGTGATATGGGTGTGTAAGGCTGGTGACATGAGCCAGAGGCACACAATCCCTGAAACGAATTGTTTTACAGGATCCATGACTATGGCATCGTTTGCCCTTTCCACGTGTGCTCACACAGTCGCTCCCAGCCACGAGAAGCAAGCTGCAACCAGATGTGTTAGAGAATGTTTGTCCCACTCATGTAGTGTTCGCTGCAAGCATGTCCAACTCATGTCCCTTCCCATCAGTCCCCATTTCACCATATCTAGCACCATATTCAATTCACCATAAGAACTTCATCCTCCACACAATCAGTTATGCAACTTTGTTGTCTTCACACGCTTCCCTATTCTAAATAAGACATAACTCAAACATGATCCCTTCAAACCACATAACGGTATGGCCGAATCATATCCATATGTCTAATCCAAAACTTCACCTCTGGTCCCCTAAGTTTCCACACTAAAGTAATGGGCTGAATCAGCTGTCCTAGACCCTTCCACCATGGCTCAAGCTTGTCTTTCAGGTTCTCAACTTTGGTGTTCCATAGCCACATTCGGTCTCCTACCCTGAATGTCCACTGGACACACCGTCTTCTCGTTCTGTGGTTCACCCGGGCTCACTATCGATGTGCATATTCTCACAGCCGACCCTGCACAAACTGCAAGCCACTCCATAACTGCTCTGGTATTCCAAACATGAGTGAGTTAAAAGTTTTCTTGCGCTCCTTTGGTGAAGAGAGGGCCGCATAGTTGTAGATGTCCATTGCCCACTCAGTAGTCTTGGCAAAATACCTTGTCTTCTCTGCCCACATCTGCCGCAAATGGTTCAGTAGGGTCTGGTTAAGCTATTCCACAAATCCAATAGAGGCACGATGATAGGGAGGAGAATACTCATGTGTTACCCCACTTGCACACACCACTTCCTCAACTTCTTGGACTGTGTAGATTTGCAAACATCTAAACATAAAATTGAAGGTGCCCTTGTGTTGCCGCCCACTTCCTCAGTTGTTGCCAATGCCCCTACCCGTCTAGTCAACATGTTTACAATAACAAGAACGAATATCGTTTTACCCACCTTTCTCTTAAGGAAAGTTCCCATAAATCCATGCTAATAACTTGGCCCAATTTCTTTGGTGTCTGCCAATTGCCAAACGGGTTGGATGGCTGTGGTTAGTGAAACAACTGACATTCCTTGCACAACTGCACCCTATCTGTCATCCACTTCCACATCGGACATAGGCCCGTTTTGGCTAAAACGAAGATATGCTTGGGAAATGACCACAGAGCGTTGCCCTTCCACTGCATGAACATGAGAACCACCCTGAATCCAAGCCCCCTATCTAGACCAAAAATTTACTAAACAAATAAATGAACCTAGGCAAAATGAAATTTGTGGACAATACCAGGAAAGGTGGCCCAAGCGGTGTTTGAGAAAGTCACTCGCGTTTGCCAGATTGTTAAAACCCATGGCTGCCTAGTTGTGCATCACAACATGAATGGATGCCCCAAAATTCCATAGTCAGAAAGTCCAAAGAGCCTCCAAAGTGCCTCCAATTCTAATATATTGCTAACATGGTGCCGAAAACTTGCAAACCATAGTCCATGCATACAACGGATTATTCAACGACTAGCCAATAAGATTGCACCTCAGCCAATCTTGCTCGCATCAGTGAGCACAGTGAAAGCACTCCTAAAAGGCTGAGAGTATATGACACATCGAATGAAATGGCAATGCAATAGTGACAGAAAGTGGCACTAACCCTCTTGCAAAAGCCGTGCCTAAACTTCTTGCAATGCTGCCAAAATAATATGTCTTCTCTAAATGAAATGCGTTGTATGGTTCAACCAGCTTCTGACTTGTCACCAACTTGTTTGTGTGGCAAGCATGGGCACCTGCTCAAACTACTCCGACATGCCGTGGGTTCCAAGCATGAGGAAATCAATATTACCCTGAACTACTAGAAATGGTCCCATCAAAAATGGCAATTATCCCAATTCATGTAGCAACCATCCCACACGAACTCTGCTAATAAAATCTCTACATCCTGATGATGTTGGGAACTCAGGTTGAGAAAGTAAAAGATATTGTCCATGTAAAAATGGTCTGGGAGTGTATGCAACTTGACACCCTTCTTGCAGTAGGCCATAAAGCTCATAAAAACTCTTGTGAGCTATTCGAATAGCCAAATGGCAATTGTGTATGGGCAGAGAAATGCACACACGCTACTATTCCAACTGCCCTCCACAAATGGGAGCCAATTAGACGTGGCCACTCAGCTTTTTTTCTGTAAATTTACTTCTGTACTTTTTTGAGCACAAACAATCCGTCCGTCGATTTTTCCGTTACTTTACCGGGGTCTGGTTTTTGTAGCCAATCATGCCACATCAGCTTTTAATTTTCTGGTTCTGGAGCTGTCCGTCAAGGGGGTGTTTGTAGCCAGCGGTTTCTGTGAAAGCGCTTTTTTTTCTGCTGCCTTTCCTGGCGTTTTGTTGCCATCCGTTAGGGACTTTGAGATTCTGGTAGTGTTCTGTTGGTCAGCTGCGGTTTCTGTTGGAGATTATTTTTTCCAAGCGGATTTTTTTCTCTGTGTCCAGCAGCCTTTGCCTCTATATATGGGCCACAACAATGATATAGCGAGGTGCAATATTAATATATATATAAACAATGCTTGTCTACCTATTTGCAGTCCATGCCATCATAAATGTTGCCTCGGCCGGTACTCCTTGCCTGACTGGGGACGCAACCCGCTGTTCTTTCCCGACCATCCTTTGCCAATGCTAGACTATATTTATTAACACAATCTACTATAAATGAGGCGTCTGGCCGTCCGGTCCGGGAACGGGACCTGCTCTGCAGCGGTTATCCATCACCTTTGCCAAAGTACACTATACTTTGTACTTAGTACGGGCGTCCGTACTTGCTCCGCGAACTTTGATGGAATTCTGTCGACCCCTATGGTTTGGTCAACGGTTTTGTTATAGGAGCCTATCATCCGTCGGTTGCGGCATGGATTCTATAACCCGTAGTTTAATTGTGGAAAGCTGTGTGGATTTTTGTAGCCGTCTATGCTGATGTCAGCATAGCCCCGCCCATTTCTATAAAACGCTTTTTCTCTCTGAGGCATGCTCACAAATTCTGTTGACTATACGGAATTTTTACAGAGCCAACCAAATTCTGTTGTGGACTGACAGAGGGGGCCACCTCTAGAGCCAATTCGCACCTAAAAATAGGTGTTAGAGAGATCTAGTGCTGAACTAATGCAAAAAGGGCACAAGACTGCCAATGACATCTCACAGTAGAATGGGAAAAATGGCCAATGCTGGATACACAAGTTGAACTTCCAAAAGTCTAGGATGAGCCAAGTTGAGCCATTCTTCTTTGGTACCCCAAACGCCGGAATGATAAAGAGTTTATGGTTAACTTCCTGCACTACCCCAAGTTGCACCAATTTCAAAACCCCTGCTAATGCCTTCGCCTCCTCTGTTGGTCTTGTCAAGGGGTTGTGAGACTACGTTTTCCGTGGAAAGGGAAAGCGAAAAGGGAAGTTGCATACCACATAAGTGTGGCAAGTGTCTAGACCAGGTTGGAAAACCACACTATATTTGGCTCATAGAGTGGTTAACCGTGAAGGCTGGGTGGAAGCATGTTGAAGAGCACTGCAAAAAGAATCCCCAATGACCTGACAAAACCCTCGTCTTTTCTACCCTCAAAAATCAAAACTACCCCATTATCTAGTATCCTAATCCACTGAATAGACATTTAACAGGCCAATAAATCATAGCGAGACATCAATTGTTATGGCTTGTCACAAAAATCCTTTAATGCACCCCATATCTAAACAACATCAGCCTTGAGAATGAAAGTGGCATGATGGTTTTGGGGTGTCACAAAACATTCCTGCAAAGAATCTACTAGAAACTTGCATGGTAAATTGATGCCGTGTGTCTCATAAGGACCCAGAACAATATTGTGGTTCAATGATAAAAACAGAGATCATTTTTGTGGTAAAGAGGATACACCAGACGCTCAGTGAAATCCTCAAAAAATCTCCCTACACCGTTTGGCTGCTCCTACCCCAAGCGACTGAGAAAGGTTCAGTTGCAACCCATAGCCACAGCTGGACTGCACTGCCCCCCATTTTCTGATATCATCCTATTGAAACCCCTACTATCTCCATGCTCCCCTTCCACCCGAACCGCCCCAGGGACCACATAAGTAGAGGTACTAGGTAGAAGAATGCCTTGGCAGAAGGCAACATTGTGAGAAATTGTAGCCATCATGGTGCCTATGTTAAGCAAGATGGCCTTGATGCGATCATGATGGTTGCCGTCTGCTACTCCCCCCAACACCGGGGTGCCATGCCAATGTGCTAGCCATACTTCCTGCAAAGTAAACACCATGTGCCATATGAAAAAT